GCTTCATATCATCTTCACTCTTGTCCAAAAGCTATTAAAACACACAGAGTGACCCTGTTGCACTGACTTTAATGCTCCTTTAATAGCACACACAGCTGAAAATTGACCCATAAAACACTAATTTCGTCCCTTTTTAAGTAACATGAGTTAAAAACCTTGGATTAAACTGACCATAAATGCCCTGTTGATAAAGTAAGGCCAAATACGATCAGAGTAATATGAATGTGATATGAAGAGCTACAGAAGCTAAACTCACGGTCCACGACGACTCCCATCTTTGGCTGGAAATCGTTGTCGGTGAGCTGCCAGAGAGCGAACGGTTCTCTGGGCGTGTCCTGCAGCAGGCGGAAGGCGATGCTGATGGTGTGTTCTGGAGAGAAACCTGCCGGGTGGATGAACCTGGACGGAGAAAAAGATGGAGGAATTCAAACGAGGGTAAAGGTTTGCTTTTGGAGCACAAACGGCACAGAAAAAGGTTTGTATACGCTGTATGGCAGAGAAAGTATTTATTCAACATTTTTCTACATGCTAGGTCGAATTAATCTGGATTATCGAATAATCTATTAATATTTAAGACTTTCTAAAACATTTTACTGGTTAAAGTAGGAAATACGTCACTGATATTTTCATATTCTTCATGCGTGTATTAATTTATTAATATCTGTATTACACTTTTTGTTTTTTTAAAGATATTTTTTGGCTTTTTTTTGGTAGGAGGACAGAGAGAGAGACAGGAAAGTGGGGGAGGAGAATGTGGGAAGGACCTGCAGCAAAGGGTCATGAGCAGGACTCAAACCTGTGACCACTGCATCGGGGACTATAGCCTCCATACATGGGACACCAGCTCAACCAGGTGAGCTATAGCGTCGCTCCTGTATCACATGTTTGTCTAAATATTATCACATTTTGTAAATAAGATTACTGCTGCTGGTTGGAAAAAATACTAAGGCACTTATCTAAAAGTATAACACCTTTAAATGGCAATTCTGAGGACATTGTGCACATCATCATTATTATTATTATTATTATTATTATTATTATTATTATCATTATTATTATTATTATTATTATTATTGTTGTTGTTGTTATTGTTAGTAGTAGTAGTAGTAATAATAATATGTTTAATGGAAAAATAAAATGAGTATCATCCACAATGTCCCAAATAAAATACGTCACAGCATTTTAAACACATTTACAAGCGTCAGCATGTCGACAATCGCAGGTTAAATTATGAGTGTCTGCGACTCCTTTTTTGCCTTTCGTTGGCATTTTTCTATTTTTTTTCTCATTGGAAGTTTTTATTTATTTTCCATCAGAACCTCAAACTGCAGGTTAAATCAAACTTTTACATGCTTAGAACTGATTTGTATTAACTGATAATAACTTTAGCTGTACGGCACTTTTCAAAAGCGAACACACAAAGTGCTTCACAACAAGACAAACCTCAGCTTAGAAAAGAAACTCAACGAATAAGTTTAGTCATATGAAACTTAGAAACGAGATAGAACAGTTCAGTCAGGTCAAGACAAAGCAGCTACACAAGAGAACTACATGATGCAGGTACTTGACTATAAGAGCGTACACTGTTATTAATTCTGATAAATAACCTCATTAATGCACCAAGACAGCACGGTGTTGTATATTACTGTAGCTAACGAGCACAGATGTTGTGGCTAAAAACCTACATTGTTATTAACGTCAGCTTCAGAGATGTTAAAGAAACCGGTCTCACTTGGTGCTCTGAGTCAGCTGGACGTCTCTGTACAGGGTGTAGGTCGGGACGGTGTTGAAGACGAACGGCTCGGCTGCGACGCCTTCGACCGACGAGTGAGCTCTCTGGGTGAGACCAAACGCCTCCATCATGTCGAAGCCTGAACACAAACACAGTCTGGGTCTAGTCTTCAGACACAGCGGGCCAGTTTCTGTCTCTTTTTTTAAAATCGTGTGTCTCACCTTTAACGATGCTGTTTCTGATGGTGACCTCAGGACAAACTGCAACACAAGAGGGCAGCGCTGAGTCATTGTAGGAAACACAGACGAACCAGGAGGAAGCAAGAAGACTCAAGGATGTCATTATCTAATGTGATGTACAAACTACATGTAGCTGCAAACAAGGAGTGAGAGACTGATGCACAAAGCTGGAATATATTGTTTGGATCTCATCTGGAAAAAACAGAACTTATTTTTACTCAAAGTTCACTCAGAAATAAATAAATAAATATCAAAACTGTTGTATTCTTTGTTTCTCTGTTGGACTTTTAAGGACCCCGTTGAGCATTTCTGTGCAAAAGCCAAAACTCTAAAGTGCACAAGTTCAACAAAATCTAACGTCTATGCTTCTACAGTGCAAAGAGCGCGTCTAAAATAATAAAATATTAAGCAGCATGCAGCGTTTCTGCTCTAATTTGAAATTAAAAGCCAATTAGGATTAAAGAGCAACACAGAGCTGCTCACCTTCGTTGTGTATCGGGTACAGCCGGGGGTGGATGGGAATTCTGGCCGCAGCCGTGGCTGTGAAACAAACAAGAACACGTTAAGAATGAAGAAAAATACATTTTTTTGTATTATTGCTAAAACATAATGTACTCTGTGTCTTTGTGTACGGAAACTACTGCTGCTACTCAGTGGTCTGATCACATTTTATGGGAGCAGCCTTGATATTTATTTCTCATAATTAAGATAAAACTTCTAAGGAAATTCTTGTGATATCACACATGATGATGACGACATATTGCACCTGAAAATGAAACATGACACTCCACAGTGTTCTACATGACAGTGAATTATTGCACATGTAATTAAAATATGACAAATTAAACTGAAATGTTAAACCTAGAAATGAAAATATATTTAAAAAAAGCACATGAAATGAAACGCTACTGAACCGGACATCGCACAAACTATTGAGAAAATGCAAATGATGAACATTATAATCTATGTGTAAATGATTAATTTAACAAAGGAACTGTAATAAAACGAGCCCCTGCGGTGCTGTGGAACATGTTTCTGAGCTGGGCTGGACCTGTGGGGTGCAGGATGGACACGGCGGCGCCCTCTGCTGAGCCCAGGAGCGAGTGGACGCTGATGCGATACAGAGTCTCGGCCTCCAGATCCGTGAAACAGTGACTGCTGCTGGACTCGTCCACAATTTCCTCCTTCGTCTGTTTGTCTGGAAAACATATCGACAGAAGTCACACAAATACACCAAAAGGTAAACGTACAAGAGCTAAACTGTGGTTTCAGATTAAGTAAAGACGACCGTCTGTTATTATAGATCCCATCTCAGATCATCAGAAGTCTTCTGCTCGACCGTCTCTGATTTGTTGGAAACTTTTTTTTAATCACAAACTACAGATTTCAAAAATAGTGTCTGTGAAATTTTAGCTTGATATTTAAGATTCTAGCCTCTAACGTGAGCTGCAAAACGGCCCACATGTTCTACTGTGCTTTTATTGAAAGTGTCTCGACGGCATGATGAGAAATAACTGTGAAAATTTCAGGTTTTTATCTTTAATAGTTTCTTTAGCTATTGTTGTTTGAACGTTGTGAAAACCTGCTGAAAGTGAGTCAACTGGCAGCTTCTTTAACACGTTTTTATCCAGAAGAATATCTGACGTGTCGAGCTAATGTTTCACAAATACCTTCATAAACATCCCTGATTTATGCTTCAGAGCAGAAACTGTTCTAAATGATTTGGGATGGATCCAGATGCTCCATCGGTTTACCTTTAACAGACTGAATGACGAGTCGATATCCGTCAACGGCAGAAACTGGTCTCCAGGACACACAGATGCTGGAGTGGTCCGACCGGACCACGCTGACGCTGCTGACCCTCAGACTGGCTGCAGAGAGGCACCGAAATGTAAAGACGAAGGCCGATAAACGCACCAGATTAGTCAGGTCATTTACTAAAACAGAGAACATCTGTAACACGACAGCTAAACAATTATCTGCCATATTTAGTTTATGATACACAGAATTTTTCTTACAGATGAATCAACATAACACCTCACAAACACAGCTGCATAAACTGTAAGTAAAGGCTCATACTTAGCCTGCAGAGACAAACTCACTCATCTGATTAAAGTTCTGTGTCAATATCAGACAGAACATGAGTGTGAACAGACATTCTCCAGCCTCCTAGAACACCTGGACGACCACCTGTTGTGCTGGACTCACCGGTCTTTCCCTGAGCCGACCCGCTGCCTCCTTCTCTGTTGCGGTACTCGGCCGTGACCAAGACGCTGTAACGTGTATCCGGCTGCAAAGACTCGAGCAACACTCGCTTCTCGCCGCCTGAGACCAGAACCTGCAGACAACAAACCAAGTCAGAAGTTTCTAGGATCCTCTGCGACACACGGTTCATGTCCGGCCGGCGGAAAATCTTACGGTGCTGTCTTGGGCTTCGGATCCGGTCAGAGCCGTGTAGGAGACCCGATACTGGAGGACGTGAGCGTTGGGCGGCGTCCAGCTGACTACGAAGCTGACCGCCGTCTCCTCAGAAACCGAAACGCTGGACGGGCCTCCGCCGGACACTGCAGCAACAGGAAGCAGCACAATTAAAACGCCAATAATTTATAAGCTGAAGTGGACGTTTCTGTAGAACTTTTGTTGGGCTGTCTCATTCTGAAAAGTCAGCTTCTAAAAAACCAACACAGAACTTATCATCTCTCTGATGTGATTTCAGCATCTGACGGTTTGTTGCTGCCGTTTCATAGTGAGGAACTGACACCTCATCTGTTCAGGAATTAAATCAAAGCCTCTGTAGTAAATAAAATAAAATAGTGTCTGGGTTCTAACGTAAAAATATTCATCTAAAGATCAGAGTTGTACAGAGGAATGTGTAGCTTAGTGCGGCACATCTCATCATATTTACCTCAGCTTTAAGTATTATTCTCCCACGAGAGGAAATTACAAACAAAACAAAACATAAATACAATAAAAACATATTAAATTTGACAATAAAAGCGCCTTTTTTAGACAATAAACTCATGAAAGTTAGTAGTAGTTAGTTTATAGTTTCTAAGAATTAACAATAGTCATCGCAAAAATGTTCAACCTCTGCAGAATGTGTAACTTCATGGCTCCTTGAGTCTGAACACCGACTGAAGCATTAAAACTAAACATCTTGACAATAATACAGTCGTCCTCATAGCGCTCTATAGTTTTCACTGGTTGTCTGATACGTTTAAGGACAGTTTTTTTTTGTTTTGTTTCTGCAGTCAAAAACCAATTACTGGCAAGAATGTGAGGAAATGCATTCACACAAGATAAAAAAAAACGTCCATCCCTGCATGCATTTCACAGCTAAAGTTACTTTACAATCACAATTTTAACTACTTCAATGTCATTTTACCAAACAGGAAGCAGAGCAGAAAGACAAAAGTAGAGATTAGCTCCACGTACAATGCTGCTTACAGTTTGATTAATCAGAAATTAGGTTATATCAGCATATTAATTGGACAGATTGTGAAACAACGGGTCGATGTGAACTCAATCCTTTAAGAAATCATAATAAACGGGACATGATTCTGTGTAATTTTACTCTTTTACTATAATGCGAGTTAAAACGGGATACATTTCGAGCTACTTCAAGGTCCTGTAGCTCTGAAAACATTCACAGTGTGAAGGTAAATTTTAGCTTCATTAAATATATTGACGTTATTGCACATCAAAAACCAGCTGATTCTGAGGGAGTCAGGTGGAAGGAGCTGATTTTCTTTCATGGACCGACGCTCCTGCATTTGTCACTAAACGGCAGTGGGAACAGGATGAACCCCAGCATGGAGGACGAACGCTGCTCAGACAGAACACGACTTGCTAAGAGTCCACAATCCGAGCAAAATCTAAAAACGTTTGCTTGAGTTGATGTGACACTGAGCTGCTCACAGAACAGAAACCAGACTGTTTGTCAAACCAAAGATGTAACCATGTAAAATATTCCAGACAGAACCAAGTTACTCTCCAGTATCTTTTACAACTTGTGGATTAATCTGTGCCACTCACATGTGCTGTATCTCGTGGCCACTGCTTCGCTCTGAGCTCCGTCTCCGTACAGCGCAGACAGAGAGATCTGGTACTCCTTATCGTCCTCCACTCCCTCCAGAATCGCTCCCTTGCTGCCGCCGCTCACCCTCAGCTGAAGCACACGACAGAGACTGACGGCTTGTTCACATATTTATATTATCTAATTACACACTAAGCACCCGGCGGTCCGTCCTCACCTGTCGCAGGTCTCCTCCGCTCAGCGAGATCCACTTGATGAGGTAAGAGACGACGTCATCGGCAGCGGGATCCCAACGGACGGTGATGTCACTGCCCGAGAAGTTGCTGACCCGGAGGTCTGACGGAGACGGAACCTTCACTGGGAGAGAAGTGTGAGAAAGTCTTGTGTGTTTGTTGAGGTTGAGAACTTACCGCATCAAAAAGAGTTGAAGCCTTGAAGCCCAAAAGACTTACGTGTGGTGACGTTACTGGTGAGTGCAGCAGAAAGGCCTTGTGGGTAATGAGACTGGACTGAAACCAGGTATCGGGACAGAGAGGACAGGTTCTGGACCAGCACCGAGTTCAGCCCTTTGACCTCCACCTGGAAACATAAATACATATATTAGGGCCGGGACCATAACGCGTTAATTTTGATTTATTAATTACAAAAAAAAAAATTACGCATTTCATCACATCTTTCTCATTTTCCCTAATTTCACGCACTGATGCACTCCAGCCGCTAGGTGGCGCTAATGCACCTAAAGTTCGTGAAGAAGCTGCACAGGATGCAAGAAAGTTTGATGAACAGTGACGGCAGATGAGACGAGCTGCTTGGCTTGGATAAGAGCGTGGTTGTGTGCAAACTGTGCAACAAAAACTCAACTCAACTTTATTGATAGAGCATTTTAACACAACAGAATTCGAAACAAAGCGCTGACCACAAAATATAAAACAATTTAAAACACCTACAATGCAAGATACAATAAAATGATAATAAAATCATTAAAAAAGGACAATAAGAACAGTAAAAAAAGGATTTTGGAGTACTTTAATTTTCCTCTTTTGTAGGAAATTTCTAATTTATTACTATTTGTTCTTTTTTATCTTAACCCCTCCATCCCCTCTTCTTCTTCCTTTCAGTTGATCATGCTTGTTTCCTACTGAGGAACATTTTGCTGCATGGGCGGTCTTACCAGCACTATTTATTTCCCCCTTTTAAACTCGTTTTGTTACTAGGCTGGTATGCACAGTCGGCGAGGCCCTCCTATGCTGGTGGCATAAACGCATGAAGCTGCATCGCTTTGGAGACGCTCACATGGATCCTACTGCTGACTGATGCTGCAGGTGTTTAATGAACTCAGAGGAAATAGTTCTAAACAGCTGGAAGCAACAGGCTCCTTTTAAAATCATATGGAGGGAAAAAACTGAAATATCATTCATCTAAGCTGCTACCGTCTGTTTTTATTGCTGTAAGATTTTATTATTGACATTTTAATTTGTAGCCAAATAAATGTATAACTGCAGAGAAAAGTGAGCGAGAAACAAACAAAGCCTCTCTGTGTCTGTTTTCCATGAATATTGTTGTGAAAATGTAGAGAATCCCTTTTACACTCTCAAAGTACAGCAGCTGTCGGCCGGTGCGTTTGGAAAGTTCACCTGCTTGACGTCGCTGCCGTGGTTGGTGCTGTAGGTGATTCGGTGTCCGGGGACGTCCGCGGCGCCGGGAACCCAGCTCACCCTGAGCCCACTGTGGGTGACCGTCGGGAAGTGGACGCTCACCGGCGGCGGGAGAGGGACTGAAGGGAGGGAGGGTCAGTGAAGAAGAGAAGCAGGAAGGGGGAAGATATTGGCCATTAAATGAAGAAAGTTATTCATCAGAAGATGGAAGTTATTCACGAGGTGTGGCAGTAAAACCTCCAGCACTGGTGTCACAAAAGATAGATTTCAAATACAAACTACAAACTACCAGTGTTCCTCTTCACAGTAATCCCCCTGGAGTCTAACACACTTCCTCAGCCTTCTCTGCCTTCATGCCGCCATACACTGCTGGAAGGATTCTCCACAGCTCCGTCATCACAGCCATCTTGATGTCGTCCACTTCTTTAGAACAGGTCTCCTTGATGACCCCCTTGAGCTTGGGGAAGAGGAAACAACCCCACAGAGTCAGGTGGGGTGAGTAGAGAGGTTGCTCCAGCACGGAGATGTTCTTCTCAGTCAGGAGCTGTGGGATGCTCAGGGCGTTGTCATGGTGAAGCAGCCACCACTGGTCCTGCCACAACTCTGCCTCTTCTGAACGAAGCAAGCGCTGCAGGATCTGTTTGTAGACGAGCTGGTTGATCGTCTGAAGGGGAAAACTGGCAGTTTGTAGTTTGGGTTTGCAACATATCTTTTGTGACACCAGTCCTGGAACCTTTCTGATCCACCTCGTACTCTCTAAAGCTCAACAGTTTTGACTGAGACACTGATCTCTATGATCTCATCTCTTGTGGCCCTTCAGTTGTGGAAACTCTGAATGAGTGAATTCAGGGATGATTTTTCCTTTTAAAAAGAGGCTTAAGGGGAGAAAAACAGCAAGTTTTGGGGAATGTCTCACATGTGGTGGCAACGGCAGTGACCGGGTCGCTGGGATCCTCGTCATAGAGCGCATAAAGCGTGACGGAGTAGTCTGTCGCCGGCAGCAAGTCCGTCAGCTCCACCACGGTCTGGTCTGCACCGAACTTCTCCTGCAGAAAAACAAACATGGAGTTCGAGGTTTGTTAGTCCATCACAGTACGTTACCTTATCCTGCCTTGAGAATGTGGTTGTTTTAAAATGATAAAATGACGATGATGAGGAGTTACGTACGATAACTTACAGCTACGTTTCATTTTCATTCTAGTAACAAATATACTGTTCAGATATGACGTCAGGACTGAACGCGTGACGCAAAATCTGTAATTCTATGAAATACTCACATAAAATAAGACATTATTTTTGGCGCAGTGTAGCTCATGTATTTATAATGTCTTGATTTATTTGTTAGATTAACAACAGAGTGTACAGATGAGCACAGGAACAAAATAATACGTTTTGTAATGAGGCTGTTACCTTAACAAAGAAAAAGACGAGACGTACGTGTGATGTTCTTGTAAAAACAGTAAAATAAGAATGAACTGGAATAAAATCACTCCTTGAATTTGTTTACTTCAGCATATTTCTCGTGTACAGATTATATTTATTATCAAAAAATATATGTTTTAAAAGAAAATAAACTTTTTTCCTCACGTTTAGCCCATATATGTGTCTACTTCTATCATTTTAAAAAGGTTGTGTGCAGTTTCATCACAAAGCGTATCAGCACGTTTCCAAGTCCTCTGTGACTGCAATGCTAACGTCAGTGAGCAAAATACAAACATCTGCACATTCTGGGTTCATCTATTATTACTACTCTTGCCTCCTGATGCCTCCACCTGGTTACTCTTCTATTTACTAGCTTGTATTTATATGCTTTTAAATCAGATGTGTGAAGCGTCACACACACAGACAGATGCGGCTCTCACCTCCTTGGCGTCGTCAGGTTCTCCGTGGCTGAGCGCCGAGTACAGGATCATGTACTGTGTTGCTCCTGGAGCTGCACCCCAGCTCACCTGCAGCGAGCTGTAGGAGGAAGGAGTCACCTGCAGGTTGGCCGGCATGGCCAGAGGCACTGAGAGAGGGGGAGGCGGAGGGAGGAGAAAGGGTGAGGAGAGGAAGCAGCAAACGTGAGAAGTGGTTTGTGGTAGATAAATATGGTCGCCTGTAAACTTCAGGACTCCCTCCAGGACCTGTACTCCTCCAGAGTGAGAAAAAGGGCAGGAGAAATCCTCATGGACCCCCTCCCACCCAGGTCATCACCTCTCTGACCTGCTGCCCTACTGGTCAGCGCTTCAGGTCTCGAAGCACCAGAACATCCCGGCACCGGAGCAGCTTCTTCCCTCAGGTCAGATCCCTCATCAGCAGTCACTAAAGACTCCTGTTGCACTCCTCTGTGCATTATGTGCAATTCTTCAATATGTGCAGTGTTGTATTTCTCTTCTCATAGTACTTCTTACTTACGTAGTACTTTTATACTTTTGATTTCTATATTTATTCTTGTCTTGTTATTGTGTGTATCAGCCTCATTCACCAATTCCTTCTGTGTGCAAACCCACTTGGCAATAAAAAGCTTCTGATTCTGAAAAACCGACAAGAGAACAAACCTGCTGATTCCAACTGTCCTGCTGATTTCACTGAGGGGCAAAAATTCATCTCAAATCATCACATTTTTAAAACAATACCACCTCTGATTTGCCTGAATTTTTTTATAGCTTAAAGTAGAAATATTTATAAAGATATCAGTGAAATTTCAGCTCAACATCATAAATAAATTCTGAGACAAAACTGTGCTAAGAAAGTTTTCGCACATTGAAATTTGAGGCGACATCTCAGGAACTGTTAAAGATAAAAACTGGAAATTTTCACTGAATAGAATACTTTTAAAATATGAAATAGTTGGTCACAAAAATGGGAAGAGAGGTATTTTTGCTTAACTTTCATAACTGATTGAGCAGGTGTGACGAGTCGCAGCACAAAACCAAATGTTGGGGATAATCTATGACAAGACGTGCGTGTCTACATGTTTGTTATTATCACCAAATCCAATGGAAAGTCCGAAACCAACAATGTGCAACTTGAATGTAACAGTGAAGAGGCTCCAACCGCCTACAACTCTCTAAAAGGATAATCAGGTGTAGCTAACTGTATGATAAATAGAACATTCAGCAGTGAAGTGAGTCTCACGTGTGGTGACGGTTCCTCTGAGCGCGAGGCCGACGTTGTGTTCGTACACGGGGAAGATGGAGACGTGGTACAGAGTCTGAGAGGAGAGACCGTCCAGCAGCACAGTGGACTCGGAGCCGGGCAACACAACCTGGAAACCAAGCATCAGTTACAGCGAGAGAGACACAAAACTCCATCGCACACACTTTGAAATTCGACCATATTCAATTCTACCAATTCCAACATATTTTTTATATGACAACACTGTGTGGCTGCAAGTCATTAAAGACAATGGTTATGCAACAAGTACTAACTCATGTGTGCATCATGTGACTAAAACAGACAGAAAAGAAAACACTGAATTCCTAAAAGCACTGTTTTTGGCAGCACAGTGTCATATCTATTGATGTAAGAACTTCAGTGATTTTGGTTATAATCAAGAAAACTATGTCAAATGTCAAGATATCAGCTCTGAAATTAAACTCTTATGAGCTATTTTTGTTGTTATCATTATATTTGTCCAAACAAATGTAGCTTTAGTGGTACCAGGCATTATAATGAACAAGAAATTGAAGAAAACGAGGGTGGTCTAATGCTTAAATTCGCACTCAGCTCTCCACGTTTCACCATTTTGAACAGGAATGAGGAATTTCAAGCTGAATTCACCTTTTTATGTCCAAATCTGAGCCTCTGGGCTTCTCTGAGAAATGAATCAAGCATCACATTCAACCACTAAAACTCTTTTTTCTGTTCAGGGATGCGAGTAAATAACTATAATTTGACATCTCAATCAAGAAACAATAATGTGCTTTACTAGTTTTTCTGTTTCTTTTTGGTAAAACAGCAAATTTGAAAATTCCTGGATAACACTAATAATTATATTTTAGCATTTAAAAGATAATTTTGGTTAAAGAGCTTCTACATACTGGTGTATGAACCATCACAGAAACATAAGAAATGATTTAGGTAATTACCAAAGCTGTTAATTTAGGGCAGCTGTGGGATAAACCTGACACTGGGTGGTGGTCTGATACATTTGTTAAGCGCTGTACATTTATGATATAGTCCCATCCAACATATTTTTTAAATCGTAGCACAAAAATTACGACATTTGTTTTGCAAGTTGGTAAAGACGTTCCACATGTTTCGCTTCTTCCGTTTGACTGCAACAAAAGAATGTTGATGTTGCAATAAAGAACATTTCTAGAATCTGTACAGCAAACTCCTTATTTCGTTTACGCCTCAAACCCAGTGTGGTAATAATCTACATGAACATAAAATACCTTCAGCATAAAAGCTAAAACTGTCTATTTGCAGGCGTGTGTCTGACCTCCTGTGGACTCTGACCCTCGGCGCTGTGGTAAACCACTCTGTACTGCTGCACCGCTTTAGCAGGATTGATCCAGTGGAGCTTCACCGATCTGGAACCGAGTTCGGAGAACCGGAGGTCAGTGGGGCTGGGGTAGGAGACCGCAGGGTCCGCTGTGGGTCCAGGCTCCATCCCTGGAGGCGAAGCAGCGCAGCACGTTAGACCTCAGCCGGACGGTCATAATGTGAAAACCCGACGCCGCAGAAGGAAATAAAACTTGCAGACAGATCGCTATAAAACACAGATGGGTTACGTTTCGTGATGCCACGGTCCTCGATCCTCCCGCACAAGATGTGGACCAGTCGGGCCACCAGTTTGCTGAGCAGAGGGAAATCATTAACATTGTAGACGTTCAGATCCACCGGGTCCGACGCCACCTGCCTCAGCTCGGCTTCGTCTGCGTTCTTCACACCTGAATAACAAAATGATTTAACTCGTCCGGCAC